CATGTCAGGGAGACGCTGTGTGTTTCTAGGCGAAAGCAAAAGCACTTTATTTGGCCTTCCGAAAGTAGATGCATTTAGGAATCTTTAAGATTACTTACAACAGAACAGCAATGCATTTTATGGACGACCGTTTCGTGAACCTAGGAGAGGAGGTAGTTCTGACTTTGGTATGACAATCTGGCGCTTCTGAATCAGCCACTGTTTTGTTATTAGTTTAAGTATTTGCTATTGACTGTTCAAATGCGGAGTTTTGCGCATCGTGTGTGTGTGTGTGTGTGTGTGTGCGCGCACGCGCACGCGTGTGTGTGTGAGAGAGAGAGCGAGACACATCACAGTGGAGTCAGCTGTCTTAACCGTGGCTTGTGTACTGCAAACACATACCAGCTTCATCACTGTGTCTGTCACGCGACTCTGTTCCCCTTTCGGGCTCTGTCTTTACATTTATTTTGAAAGATGAAGCTCGCGATTATGTTAAGGGGCATTACATTTCCGACGAGTGCTTGCGGTGTTCGGCCAATCACAATGCACTGGGTCAGCTGGCCAATCAGAGCAGACTGCGCTTGTCGGAAGGAGGGAATTTGTAGAAAACGAAGCGTTTGAGAGAGGCGGGGCATAGAGGACCTACAATAATGTACAGTATTTGAAAAATAATGTGTTTTTTGAACATTAAAGCATGTCAACATATTCTGTTACACCAAATACACAAAATAATGATCTTTAAAAAAGCATCATATGACCCCTTTAAGAAATTTTAATCGAAGTATGGTATAGACTTTTCATTAAGACCCTAAAGAATCATATCAACTTGTGGAAAATGGGCATCCGATGACCCCTTTAAACATTAGGAAAAAAAGAAAAATTTCCTAGAAACATACATTTCTTAATGTTGTTTCTACATTAATTTGAAGATTGAATGTGAAATTATTGAAATATAAAAGTATATTTAAAAACTTTAATGTTAGGTGGGATTAATTGTGATTAATTTGAGAAAATATGTGTGATTAATTAGATATTTGTAATCGATTGACAGCACTAATAATATTATATAATCATATAGTATATTGATAATGCATAAAATAAAATTAACATGTCTTGATATTAGTGTTAAAAATTGATAGTAATCTTATCATCCTTTCATTTAGTTAAACACAAAGAAGCCTATTTATATATTTATTTATTAAAAATAAATCACTTTTAAACCATTTTAGAGCAATAAAAATATACAATAATACTGATATATAATCCTCTCTGAATCCTTTATTCAAGTCATGTAGAACATTCCACTCCAGAGTTAACTATAATAATCATCCATATCAAATTATCCAGCACGTTGTAACTTGCCTTTTTTCTTTATGGTGAAATATTTTGCTTCCTTATCCACATTAATCACAACAAAAACCATTTATAAAGTAATTTATCTGATTGGAATAAATGTGTCTTAAATAAACAGAAAATCACGTGCTGTTACTTGCCATCTTGGATAAGTTTGTTGCCTAGGAATACCTGAAACTGAAGTGTAAATGAAAACAAAACCTTTGCGCAAGCTTGAAAAGGTAGCTGGACCTAATTTTGAAATTATTGAAAATAGAACCAGTTATTCACATTACAGTGAGTTGTGAGACTGAGGTCTGTGCTACATCCGTCCTGGAGATCACTTCATTTCATCCAGGAAACAGTATATTCATGTAATGTTCAGGCACGTTGGCATGTGCGTCACGGTTAATAAACTGATCATGTGTTCTATCATTTATTATAAGAGCTTTCTAAACCAAAGGTGACTGCAAATGCCCTCAAGACATTATACACCTGAAGAATTAATGAAGCATGTGGAGTTGCCTTATCCCTTCCAAACAGAGCCACAGCATATGTTAACACCCACCATTCCGGAGTTGAATGTTTGTATATTTAGATATCTATAATTTAGATCAGAGCATACTGGGGAAGTTCCCTTTCTACCACCAACAAGCGCTTCACTAATGTGCACTGATACACAAAAACTACAACAAACCTACCTTTAAGAGGTGCTGATTTACCCATTTTGTAAAAGTCTTTTTCTGGACTCGGTCTCTTTCATCTGAAAAACAAGAGGGATTGATGTTAGAACTGCTTTCAGACTGTTGCAAAATCATTTCTAGCATTGACATCATATCTAGTAATCTCTTTTCTTAAAATAATAATTCCACCAAAACCATTAAATGTCTATAGCTAGTCAACTAGGAAAAAAAAACTCTAAATAAATAATATATTTTTTTATAAATATACACACTATATGTCCAATACATGCACTACATATTAATTATACTTGACCTGTTATTTTCATTATTTAATGTATAATGGAATAAATGTTGTGAAAGCTTAAGTTCCCCTTCAGGAACTCGAGATGCTTTGGGAACGCCTTCAGCATGACCACACTCTGAATCATGCATGTAATCAGTCCAATGAATGGCCAAGTCGTCATGGACGGGGTGACGTAGTGACCAGGAAGCTATAAAAGCATGTGCTGTAGCGTCTGGACCAATCAGACACACCATTTTTCATTTGATTTAACAAATCAATTATTCATTAGATTAACAAACAGTTTAAATACTCAGGACACCATCTATCTCTCTCTCTCGCTCTCTTCCTTCTTGCCTTTTCGGGCCTTGTTGTTTTTCTTTTAAATCATGCTTCTTTAGTTTTGAGCGTGCTCTGGCTTACACGCTATCTCCTCCAAAACCATGAGAAGAAACGCCACCTAGTCTCGTCAAACTTTACTTCTATTTCTATTTTTTTAGTACATCACAGCAGCAGGTCAGGCTGGTGCTTGCCTTCACACCATGGCAGTACTACAAGCCTACCAAGCAGACCTGCTGAAAGAGCTGGATGAGGGCGAGGAAGTTAAGACTGATGATATTAAAGAACTTCGTCGAACCGCTGATCTGTCGCTCCGCACCACGAAAGAGACCGCCAAAGCAATAGGGCGGTCTATGGCAGCCTTAGTGGCCACATAGAGGCATCTTTGGTTGACCCTGTCTGAGATTGAAAAGACAGGGTATTCCTCCTTGACGCCCCGCTTGCGCCTTCTGGCCTGTTCGGCGATATCGTCAACTCCGTCATCAACAGGATTCAGGAGGTCTGTAAACAAACGGCAGTGTTTCAGCAGTTCCTGCCTCGCCGCTCTCTAGCTCATGGGGCTGCTGGACCTCTCATACAGAGAGGCGCAAAAGCTTTAGCTAAAAAAATTTACCTCACGGTCGAAGGCTTCGAAGCCGAAGGCCGATCTGAGGACCATCCTTCTTGCTAAGAAGTCTTCGACCAAGTAGCTCTGATGATCGTGTTCCAGGGCTTCTGAGGGCAGCCCCCACTGGGGAAGAGCGGTGTACACCTCACTACACAGTGCCCGTCTCTCCTCAGTGCCCTCTGGGGGCCACGCTGTTAACCCTGCCACCACCGGTGATTCAGGGCACAGTGGTCTCCAGCGAGCACACATCTCAGAGTCCACCCGGAAACGTAGCGGCTCTGGGAGGCTCGCTACCTCTGAGGAGGTCTCCAGAGTGGCTAGTTCGGTTGTTCGCTACCAGTCCATCGTTTCAGGGCACTCTCAAGAGAGAGAGAGACTGATTCCCTTAGTAGATTTTCTGGCAGCTTGGAAACATCTGCCGAATATCTTACGCTGGGTCCTGCTGACTGTAGAAAAACGTTACAGAATTCAGTTCGGTTCTCCACCGCCTCGTTTCAACGGGATCATTCCCACCCTGGTGGGTCCCAAGCAGGCTCTGATATTAGAACAAGAAGTAAAAACTCTCTTGAGGAAGGAGGCCATCGAGGTGGTCCCTTCTTTTGACAGAGAGTTCGGGTTCTACAGCCGGTACTTCATTGTTTCTGAAGAAGGATGGGGGGTTTCATCCCATTTTAGATCTGTGTCAGTTGAACCGCTCAGTCATGCAGCTGAAGTTCAGGATGCTCACACTCAAGCAAGTGGTGTCTCAGATCAAGTCCGAGGACTGCTTTGTCACAATCGATCTAAAAGATGCAAACTTCCATGTCTCCATCCTTTCTCAACACAGAAAGTCCCTGAGGTTTGTTTTCGGGGGCAAGGCAAGGCAAGTTTATTTATATAGCACATTTCATACACAATGGTAATTCAAAGGGCTTTACATAAAAGAAAAGAAAATAATAATAAAAAAATAATCACAACAATAAAACAAGGAATTTAAAAACTTTGAAAATGATAAAAAATGTATTTAAGAGGTTTAAAATGAATTTTAAACAGTTAAGAATAGAAAATCATTATACATAAAATATAGTGCAATCAGTTTAGATGTTGCACAGTGCTCATTCAATAAATGCACAGCGAAACAGATGAGTTTTGAGTCTGCATTTAAATGTGACTAATGTTTTAGCACATCTGATCTCTTCTGGAAGCTGATTCCAACTGCGGGCAGCATAATAACTAAAAGCGGACTCCCCTTGTTTTGTGTGAACCCTTGGTATTTCTACCTGACTCGATCTTAATGATCTGAGTGCTCTGTTAGGTTTATATTCAGTGAACATATCTGCTATGTATTTAGGTCCTAGGCCATTGAGTGATTTATAAACGAGTAAAAGTACTTTAAAATCAATCCTAAATATAACTGGAAGCCAGTGAAAGGACCTGAAGACTGGTGTGATATGCTCAGATTTTCTGGTTCTACTCAGAATTCTGGCAGCAGCGTTCTGGATGAGCTGCAGCTGTCTAATGGTCTTCTTGGGAAGGCCGGTGAGGAGACCATTACAATAGTCCACCCTGCTGGTGATAAAGGCATGAACAAGTTTCTCCAAGTCTTGACTGGAAACAAAACATCTAATTCTTGCAATGTTTTT